CATGCGAAGAAATATAATACTAATCAAATCTAATAAAAAATTCATAAGAGAATGATATAATCTCTAATCCAAATGAATTTATAGTCTTTTAACTTTTTTATTTTTTTTTAATATGAAGCTTGTATTATATTTAGGATTTTCAAAACTCAACAAATGAATTTTTTAATGTTGTGTTCGCTTGAACCCGTTTACGAGAAATTGCGCAAATGGATTAGAGGATTAAATCTTGTTCGTTTATGAGGATTTGGAAGCAATGTAAAGAGCTGATTTGCCAGATACATAATTTTTCTTGTCATCGCTTATGTGTTCAGATTTGAAGGGATTTAATAGGAAATATCCTTTCTACCCTTCTATAATTTTATAATTCCAACTTTGATTGTAAATGTAATTATACTACAATCAATTTCAAATTAAAAGTATTTTATTTCTTGTAAAAACCCTGTAATCCAAAAACGTAACTAATATGTTTTAATTAGTAATAAATAATAATAATAATAATTATACCACGGTTAAATTATATTCTTAAAATCCACTATTTAAACAAAAATAATATTTAAAGAAAAAATAATAATTTTTTAAAAGAATATTCTTTTAATTATTTTATTAATTTTTTTATTCTATTATTTAAAATTATTTTTATCAAAAAGTATTTTATTAATTTTCTTTAAAATTATATTTATAAACTTTAATGTATTTTTTATATTCAATTTACTAAATTACCATTTTTTTCTTATTATAAACATTTTTACAATTAAATATAACATTAACAAATATCATTTTATATTACTTTAATTACTAGGGACATTTTGGTAATTTTCAATTTCTACTAATTAAACAAATTTTTTAAATCTATCCCATCAATCAAATCCTACACTAATTCTCACAAACTTTATTTTCAAATCTACTCTCAATTACTCACAAATCTACTCAATAAAAACAACAAAAATATTATCCTCAAATTCACTCAAATCCATTCAAATCATCTTCTCAAATTATCTCAAAAGAGCAAAGCCTATATTGAAACATTAACCTGACAAAAAGAAAACAAAATCATTGGCAACTAGACAAACTAATCACGAAAAATTGAATAAGTGAAAACATACTCATTTCTGTGATTTTGTCCTATTATATTCATCACTGCTATGTGGACTATCCCCTATATATTTATAGAATGACACATGATTGCAATATAATTTAATTTCACATAGGTGATAGGGTTGAGTAGAGATCTACACACATATCTAGAAGATTTTAAGACAACAAAAGAGGATGCTGAGGATTCAAAATCGATATAAATTCATTGTAATGATTCAATTTTGGCATCCTCAAGTAATGCTAATTGCAACAAGAACCACCATCATTGTATGTATTGCTACTGTTATAAGTGTCGTATAATTTCTTGTTCCCCTTTTTAGTGTTACCTAATGGACCAATATAACTCATAACTTGCATAACTTCTCGATCACACCAGATTTTTTTTTTTCAAAAGTTAATTTCCTTGGAGAGATTATCTTAGAAATTATTAAAAAAAGATCTTATTATATTCATATCATCTCTCAATTATGGACCTCATAGCCTCAATTATTTAAGTTTCTTTTGGCCATTTGATTAGTCTTTATCATCTGAAAGCATGGTACGTGGATTAAGCAGTCTCAATGTAACATTCAAGAAATGAAAGCCTTATGAAGTGAGAAACAAAAAAGGAAAACAAAGCAAACCATATCTGCGATGGTGAATGAAAGAATCTTCTTTTATCTGGGCCTATGGTAATAGGTTTATAGCCAGACATTTCAATGTCAATCAATTATAGTACCGACAAATAACTAACACACAGTGAAATACGTTAGAAATAATGAAAGAATCATATGACTAATCCTTCACTCATTAATGTTGAAGTGACTAATTACAGAAATAAAGTAAAATTGGAGAGACAAAGTAAGATCTGAACTGAAGCTCTGTGTGTGCCTTGATCTCTGCCCCTTTATTTTACTTTAATAATGTCGTCCAAAAGTTATGTATGTTTGCATCAACCACGTGCACTTTTTTCTTAGTGTTTTGATTTGTCATGCGATGATGCACTTTCATTAGATGTTGATCACATATTAATTAATAGAATTAGCATAGAGAAAAAGTCTAATAAGGTGTCCAATTTGCGTCTTTAAACATGAAAAGATGGAAGATTCCGTTTCATTTGTCAAGCTTTTTTCACATGGTTAAAACATAAATCAAATGTACTTCTTTTCAAAGTTGTTTGACGAAAACATTTCTCCTTCCTATGGTCGATTTACACGTTATGTCTTCTGCATAGTTGTTTATGAAAACTTAATTAGAGCCCTAATATTCTATCTTATCCACAACTATGATATTTTTTTATTGGTGAGATATCGGAGAAATTTGAGATTTAAGGTTAAGAGGTTTATCGTGATTATATGTAAAAAGGATTGTGTGACCAAAATTTTAAATCGAAATACCTTGACCACTATGTATAATTAGTGTATAATTCAAATAACTCAAATTAGAATAAAATGTGAGATTACATTATGATGTCGTTCAATAAGATGAGACTCCAGTGTCTATGTACTATATAAGGATTTGTAAGAGACATAGTGTTCATAGCAACAAGGATAATGGAAAAACAGTTTTGGTGTCAAATAAAGACAAGGAGGCATGCCTCAAGAAGGGGAAGTTCAACCTCAACGATTGCAAGGAATAGACTAAGATAACTGTCAAAAAGTTACAACAGGAAAAATAGATGAATCAAATGAACAATTTGAGCAGGATCCACTACACTGATTATGTCCACTAGAAAAACTTTGATAGTTGAACCCAAAATGATTATATTATAATCTCTAAATGTAATAGATGAGAAAAAGTTCAAGTAAATAGATCTAGTGTTCCTTGAGATGTAGAAGCGAGAAGCCCCAAATATGAATCAAAATTGGGGTTTTAATCCCTAAATTTGAAGTGTTAAAAAATACCTAAAGTGGTAAAACAAAGAAAGAGTGTGTGTGAAACTATGAAAGTGTTTGATTGCAAGAGGATTGGACAACAAGAGTCTTAATGGCACGAGGACTCTATAACGAGCAATCTGACGAGATATAAAGAATTTGGCTATGATTGAGATAATTTTTTAATATTAAATATTACAATATAAGAAATATTTGATAAAATTGTTTTAATTTATGGGTAGATTGACTTTACCCATGAACACATATATTTGGAAAAGGGAACCTAGAAAATATCCTTTTTATCCACGGAAAAAATTTTGTTGAAAAAAGACATGGAAAATTTTCACTTTATCCATAACCGAAAATCTATAAAAAAGAAAATACATGAAAAAAACAACCTTTTTACCAAAAAAAAAACTATGGAAGTTATTCCATGAGAAATAACCTTTTTATCCATAAAAAAATTCGTGAAAAAAATTCCGTGGAAAATAACATATGGCTAATAAAGCTTTTTGTGGTTGAGAACAACCTGAAACTCATTTCTAACACTTTCGTGTAACTTAATGGGAAACAGAACAAAATTTGGAAGGCAATATGTGTAGCAATAGTTTGGACAGTTTAGGATTATAGAAACAATGTGATATTTAAAAAAGGAAAAATATAGAAGAAATCTTTTGTATAAGACATTTGAATGCATGACTACAGATTAATCATAAACAAACTAATGCTAATTTCTTATATTTGGATTGGTATTAATGTCCGCTTAAATATTTTGTAAAAGGGACAACCATCTTGACTCTTGTTAGCCAACAAAGCATTTGAGATAATTATGAGTGTTTGTTTAGGGTTTGTAAGAATAAATTGCAAGAAGCTTGAGGCCACACTGGAATCTTATTTTTTCTAGAATTATGCAGAGAAGAAAGCATGGTCTGGGGAGCTGTTACAACCATAACAACAAAAGATATGGACATACTAACACATAATACCACATGTCCACTCCATTGGGCTGGGAAGGAAATCAAAGCAGAAACACTAACACAATTACACCACAAGGAGTTTTATGACAACGAGGTAGTTGTAGTGTTTTTTTTTTTTTTTTTAAATTACACAATCTTTTATTAAAGAATGCTGGTTGAACTTGAATAACATAATGTTGATGGATAGATTGGTAAGTCACTTGGCGTGTAAGACAATTTTGAAAGTTCATACATGTTTTATCTACAATCAGCAACGTAAACAATGTTTGTATGTAAAGTGTAAAGAGTTTGGACATCCCAAATATTCTATTAAACATATTCTATTATTTACTGATAAAATAAAATAAAAAAATCCCAAATATTCTGTTAAATATATTCTATTATTTACTGATAAAACAAAAAAAAAATATAATGAAAGATCAAGTTATGACTTAAAAGATAATATTATCAATTTCATTTAGGAAAGATAAGAAAAAGTAAATAATTTAGTTTGACTTTTACATCAATTTAATCTAGGACTAAATTGTTTAGAACTTTTAAATTTTTAAGAATGAAAATAATAATGTTTGTGTTAGGTACTAATTTGTCTTCATTTGAATCTTTCAATATTCAATATAGTATTTTTTTCATGTCAGACAAAAGAATAATTTTATTACCTAAATTAATTTATGGTTAAGAAAAATCATATAAAAGTGAGTATTAATGTATCATTTTTACAAAATGTTAGAGACAAATCAATCACTTTACATCATGCTTCCTCATACTATTCAATGTACAGTATCTGATATTTATAATGTAAACCACATAAAATTCGTCATTATTAATTGAATCTCATATATAACTTATTACGAAAAAAATGTCTAATATAAACTCTAAAAGTATGAAGTATTATTGTTGCTTTTCACTCATCTAATTCAATCTGACATTTCTTTTCAATTCACAAAAAAGGATATCTTAAGTACGACAAATGAACCATTCTTTGAAGTACTAAATAAAGATTTCGATGGTTTTTGAAACATATGAACTTTCAGTCTGATCGAAAAGCATTCAGTGACAACAATAAAAGAAATTATAATTAAAAGAAGGTAAAATATATATAACCAATGCTAATTACATTACAAGCTGTATACATATCATTAATAGTTCCTAAAGTAATAAAAGTAAATAATAATAGGAAAAGAACCTAATGGACCACAGTATTATACCCTACTACTTGAACAATATACCACAAACCCTGTTGTAACAACTAATCCCACCCAATCTATCATGTGACTTGTTCCTCAGACCGAAACACCATAAATACATCACAAATAAACGAATCTTGACAGTTTCCGACATATGAACCACATATATGTACACACGATATGACTCATCCTTAACTATAGGAATACCATATTGTTTTCATTGCTATTATTATTATCAACCTCGAAGGTTATTGCATCCAAGTTTGAAGCCACGCCATCTTGTAAGCTATTTTCTTCCAAATCCATGTCCCATAAGAAACCATATCCATCATCACCTTTGGAAGTAATTTGAGTAACGATGGTGTTGTTGGTGTTGGTGTCTCGAGAGAAGTGAAGAAGATCCATGAAAGAAGAGTTTTGGCTTGTGTTGAAATGGTGATGATGGTGGTGGTTGGCTGGCAATGGCATGGAGGAAGGGAAAGAGGTGGAAAATCTGTTCATGGTGGGAGATGACGACGCCATGGTTAGGGATTGAGGTGTTGTATCATAATCGTACATGAGTTTCGAACTGTTATCTTCTTTGCTTTTGTGGAAGACTCTACACAGCACCCAGTCCTCCTGAAACAAATGTTTTTAATTTTATTTAGTCGACTTTATTATATATGCCTTTAATTAATTTCTCAGGTTAAGACATAATTTAAAAAATAAACAACTTATAGAGAATCTATACATAAACTGAATAAGTAAACCTAGAGTCTTTGATTTAGAAAACAATATTAATTTAGGTTATATATATATATATATATATATATATTATCATCATTTGTTCTGGAATTGTGTATCTGGACAAATCACATTATTGATGAATAAATCAAATTAAAAAAAAGGTAACGTTTTTGTATAAAATATATTTTAGAGAATAAATGTTTTCTCTCCTCCTCTGTTGCTAATTAAAGTACACAGGGAAGAAACAGATTTGAAAAATTTTTCTGGTCCCTTCAGGGAGAATCTATTCCCACTTGTTCAGTCAACAACTTTAACAAAGCATGTCAAGTATATCTCAAAACTAAGGTATAATATTTAAGCATCCATTACAATATATTTATAGTTAGTTTAGAACATTTTATTAAAAACTCCTATAGTCTCACATTATAATTAAAATATATATTATATTATAGGTATGTATTGTGTGTTATATCAAATAAAAATATACTTTTATATAAGACTGAAAGGAAAATATTAACTTATTTTCTTTTACCATAATAAATGATTACGTCAGTGTGTGACATATCAAATAAGATGACCTTTTGTGTAAGAAAAAATATTGACTCCAAATTTGTGATGAATGATCAAGAATAAAACATACTACTAGTTAATAGAGTGATTTTTTCTAAGTGTTAAAAATTGATATTAATTATTCATGTCTATATAGATATGCAATCAAAATTATTTATTTTTCTCTTTTTCATATATATAGACAAACAAACTAGTGTTTTAAAACTTTTGATTATCTTTTTCTGAAACCATTGATGTGATTTTAATTTTAATTTTCATAAAATGTAATATTTTGTGTAAAATCTTGATCTTTTAACGCATTTTTCTATGTTTAAAGTTTTGATAGCTTCAAATAAAGTTATCGATATCAAACACATCCTACTCAATGGCCAGTTTAGGCTTATAAAAGTTCTACCACGAATAATAACAATTTGGCTATAAAAGTGTAAAATTTTCATATTACATCAACATCCTATATCATAAACCTTTACAACAAGTGATCAAATATTAATTATAAAAAAAATTATTAAAAACTTTAAGATGTTGCAATTCAATTTAGTGTTAACGATGTCTTAGTAATGTTTGAAAACATTTATTTTATGCTCAAATCACAAAAAAGATGTGTTATTGCAGAAAAAATGTTAACCTTACATATTAATATACAGTCTTTATCAACTCAAAACCAAATTACTGTGTATATCCATAAGATATCTACTACCATTTGATGCAAGTGATAATCTTTTTATGTGAATTTTTTTAAAAAAATATTGACAATTAAAAATGATAAAATTTCAAACACATAATTCACATTTTCAAATGAGTATATGATACTATTTTTTTAATCCTAATACTTATAGTTGTAGGACTAAGATTTATTCTCATTACTTTAATTAAAAAAATTCTGACTATCTAGATACATCTTATGACATTATCTACTAGTAAAATAGTAAAGTTCATCTTAATGTTATTAGTATTAATATTTTTTTGTGAGAAACCTAATAGTTACATAGCATGTAATCATGTATTCTCAAATATCTCATATCATAGCAAAACCGCTTTGGAAATATACACCCTAATAAAGCAAACCAACGACAAAAAATCTTTTCCTAGCTTTAGCCAGAAATCACCTCCTAGATTTGACCTTAATTAGTTATATCAATCAGTCCAAGCACAACACACAAGAAACCAATTTATGTCCAAAAGCTATATAATAAAGATCATTCCAAAAACAAAAAGTTTTAGTAAAGGACAATTTTCATGGGAGCAACCAATATTAAGAGAAGTGAAATAATTGGTAAAGAACATCTTTTACTTTTAAACAATACCTTAAAATAGTAGTTATATTTTTTTCAATAACATAAACATGTTTATACAAATTGCACTTTCAGAAAATTAAAGTTATAGTGAATAGTTAAAAACAAAAGAAAGTTGCACCCCACGAGCAAAAGCCACGATGAGTAGAAAGTAGAGAAACGAACCTTTGGAGGCATGTGTGGGGTCTCCAAGCGGAACTCATGCATGATCCACCCAGTTTTGATGCCATTTGGAGCTCTGTTCCTGTAGAACACCAACGTTTTCCTCATCCCTACAACCTCTTGCGTGGTCGGATCTACCACCGTTCGATCTTTTCCTGTTGCTTTCCAATACCCTGAAGTTGTTGCCCGGTTTGTTCGAAACCCCGTCGCGTATTTGCGGTCCCGGAAGCTGAAGAAGTACCACTCGTTCGCATTCAGCTTCGCCACCTCTGTGACCATTCATATCAACACATGCATATGACTCATCAATTTCTTGTACCAGCAACCAGACAACACATGACTAAGCTAAGGTTAAATTAGGTGCAATCAATTGTGTCCCCGAATAATAAATAATTAGGTGTAATGTAGAATCACCATCACATGTCGGCTAGTTCATTAATGACACGAAGTTTTCAAGTTTCCAGTCCTACCAGACAAACATGACAGCAATTTGATGACACTAATTGCCACTTAGAAGTTTCAACGTATTTGTCTGTTTGCTATAAATGTGATTTCGTGGTCTGGTTTTTTACTCCCTCTTTTCATAATATTGTGCATGAAAAGAGGACTCTATAATCTAATCAAGAAAGATCATGCATGTCCTTTCATGCATAAAAAAATAGCTTTTCGTGTATTTCACTAAGGAAAATATAGTTAATAATTGCTAACGAGTAAAAATCATAGAGCTAGATCGATAGCGAGTCATGTCCAAGAAAGGTAATGAATGGAGGTGCATATATGAACACGTATGTGTTGTGTGCGTCAGTTTATATTAACATCATCAGTGTTTGTTGCTTGGTGAAAAAGTATTGCTTTTTCAACTTTGTTATAATAAAAAATAGTTACTAAGTATGTGTGTATCTATCCCATAAGCGTGAAATTAAAGGGACATTGTGACCTAAGAAATCATAAATAAATTAAAGGACCCGATTCTGTGCATGAATCAAACAAGCTACTTCAATCTCCAGAGTTATATTTTTGGCCACCCTCTAAATTACTGTTAGGGGTTGCTTCCTTTATTTCATAAAGAGGAAAACTCGTGGTCACTCCCAGACCAATCCAGCTATGTAAAATGCATATTCTTAGAAAAAATATATGATGATACTCTTGAACTTTTCTCAGATATGATGAAAAATATAATTTTTTTATCATATAAATATGTATTTCAATAGGAACACTTGAGTTACTCCAAGCCATATACACAATCCCCACTGTATTGATTTTCTTACAAGAGTTAATTTCTACAACCAAATGAAAAAACATAATAATTAAACCATGAAATGAATAGTTCTACGTACAGCAGAGTTCATGTGCTTTTTGTATGTGTGGAGTCTATATTTGAAAATAAGAAATAAGCAGGAACATAGGAAGGGAATGGATTTAATAAATGAAAAACAGATAAAAGAATATGCTACTAGTTCGATATTTTTAAAGAGTAAATAGAGAGTAAGAATGTAAAATAAATTCTGAAAAGAAGAAGAAGAAGTGTATACATTGATTTTTAATTAGATGTGTTAAACTCAGTTTCTTTCAATTTCTTATTTTCTTTTCTTATAAGTAATTAAAGAGAATTTTATCCAAATAAAATTTATCTTGCCTAGAAAAAACAGAGAGAGAATAAGGAGACTATCACCTAGTTCTTTGGACTAATATTTAGTTCAGGAGAAGGTTGAAGAAAATTAAGTATCTGATTCATAATTTACATGTATGAAAGTTTTACTAATTTTCAGTTGAAGAAAATATAGAATAGAGCTTGTAAAGCAATTAAAAACTACTAAATTTTAGTTCCAAGTTTTTTAAAGTATCTAATTAATTTATTTCCTTATTTCTATTGGGAATTTTATTCTATAAAGTAGCATATAAACCATAGTCATAAAATATACAGACCAAAGGAAAAAAAAAAGTTTGGTAAGTGCCAACATGGAACGAAAATTAAATGATCCAACAACATATGCAAAAAGACAAAAACCCTTACAAATATCGAGTGGAACATACGTTAATTATATAAAGAAATAAATTAATATTATATAGAAATACTGGATGTTGTTTTATTTAATTTATTGACAGAAACACACTATTAAACTATTCATCACCAAGTTGGCATTGCGTTAATGATTGAAGAACTGAATGCACTGTCGTGTCTGCGAATGGGATAACATCATAATATCAGAACCCTCTCCTCCTACCTTAACCCTTTCAGTTTCGTGCATTCTCATCTCTCTTTCTCTCTCTCTAGTCTCTTCAGGAATCAAACAAGCGTGTTTGTCGCTTCTCATATTAATTTGACAACAGATGCTGGACATGTACTTTGTATAAGCAAGTTTATGAACACAAAAGCAACAGAGAACACATGTTTATGAGCAGAAAAGGACCAGTGAATGTGAAGTAATTAATTTCTGTTTTCGCAAAACAAACACGAACAGAAAGACAAACACAACAAATGGGAAACCGTGTACGGAACATATATAAACATAGGTTTTTCAGAAATTTTCGAAACGAATGAACACGAACTGGAATGATTATGTACCTGGAAGTTGCCACGGTTCACATATATGGAGGTCGATTTCCACCAAGGTACCCTTGAGAAGTTCCTCATTTGCGATCTTTTTGTAGAGGTAATGGCAGACCAATTCCTCGTCACTGGGATAAAAGCGAAAGCCAGGAGGCAGTGAAGCACCAATGTCTCTGAGACCCATTTGTGAAGGAGATCTAAGATGTGACACAGTTATGTAGAGGAAGAGAGAGGGAAATCTAATGAGTATTCAGTGGATATGGATAAAGCTAGGAATGTGGATAATGTATATAATTGAAGATTGGAGAGATTACTTCCTCTGAGTATTTGAAATATTAAGGTATAGAGGCACAAAGGTTGGTGTCGCCTATATATATATAGTTAGAAAGATATCATGCTTTGCCGTTTAATCAGAATTTCTTTATTCATATTCCATAGCAGGGGCATGCTTGTGTAAGTGGTTAGTTATAGTAGGAAGTTTCAAGAAAAACCAAAGTTACAAGAAACCTTGACAAATAAGGGTAGAACAATAATACGAGTAATAGACACCATCCAAAAAGCATATTTTTTTTTAATTGATATTCTTGAAAATTTTGTGTCTCCTTTATCTTTCCTTAATTCCAGGAAAACCTATTACTCTATAGTAATAACTAACTAGTAGTAACTTTTGGACGACACTTGCGTTTCGTATAGAAAATCCTGTTAACTTTCTTACCCTATCTCAGGTTACTGGTTTACTTTGTATATCTTTTTTACATATTTATTAACTTTTATGATGAAAATCGATTATAAATAAAATTAATTTAAAAAATATATATCTAAATACAAACTTCACTTTATAAAATAATTTTATAAAACAAATCAAATTTAAAGAGATTTATTATTTTTATTTAGACTCAAAATCTGTTTCTTAACCTTTATTCTTAACATTATCCTTATTAGCATACAGTTTTTTTAAAGATTTTGTACCTGTGAAAAGGTGTACCTTGCTACGTCTAACGTTTTCATGATCTATATCTATCCAAAACTTTTTCAATAACTTTCTCCCTTCTTTAACGAGGTTGTTTAATCTCAACATTTGTTTGTTTCTAGTTGGATAGACTTTAAGTTTAAGTTTTGAGGTGTTTTTGGGAAAATCTCAACCTGGTTGGAACTAGTCCAACACTTTGATGACTTTGGCTTTTAGATGAGGCATGGGCATCTTAACAAATGAAATAGTAGAGTTTTTTAAGGTACATACAATGAATCTAGGTTATTTCTTGTAGATGGTCCTAACATCACGTTTTTGGTCTTTTTTTCCAATTTCATGCACTCTTTTATGCCTGTGCCAAGTCCTTCTCTGTGATGCACTTTTTGATTTTACTCGTGTTTGTTCCCCATGGTAGGTTAGGAAACAAATGAAAAGCTCCACAGTAGTGGCAATGAGAGAGCTGGGAGGTAGTTTATTAATTTAGAAATATCCAGATATGAGATTGCTTTGCATTAAATTAATGGAAGTCCGAAGATTGAACAGGGGAGCACACGTGAGCATTTGATAAATTTCTGGGTGCAGTTTAAAATGGACAACTCTATATATAAAACGGAGGAAATAATTGATGTAGCTGGATGTAGAAATTAATGCCAATGATGAAGTTTTAAGTCCCATCTGTTCTGTTTTGGATCACAGAATGATAGTTTGGAATGATGCGAGTGTGTGTGGTGTAACCTCATTAATTGTCTTTTAGCTGGGGTCCCCTACCCTTGTCAAGGAGGACCCAATTCTTAATTATAATTAAGCCTTGTAACGTTAGTGTGCTTTGTACACATATCTCAAATGGATTTCATATTTGCAAGGTGAAATTTATATTTAATGAGCATATACCAAAAAAATATCCTTAATGAAGATGTATTTGACACCCTTTATTAACACTAGTACATAAAAAAAAATTGAGACCAATTATTTTTAGGGTTTTATTTTGGCTCTATAACCAAAATATATTAAGCTGAGACAAAAAAATGAAGGATTTAGGCTTTGGTTCTTAACCAAAGTTTATATGTGATATAAAAAAATTTAAAACAATTTAAATATTAAAATAATAGTGTTTCAAACCATTGAATGCATAATAAACAATTCCTAAATAATCAAAGGAAAAGATATGAGTAATAGATCAAGACAAGACCTTGACGAAGCTTTTACGAAATCAAAATGTGTGTCTCTTCATTTCAAACAGAAAGTGAGTTTAAGCTTAACTCAACCCCACAAAACCAGCTTGTAGGATGAGGTTTGCACCCACTTATAAAGTATGAATTGGTCTTATCTCTAGTCGATGTGGGACTTCCAACAACAAACATTAAAACAAAGCAAAATAAATACAAGAAAAAGGAAAACGAACCTCCAAACAACAAGAGATGATTTATGACGACCAAAAATTAAAATGGAGAGGAGAGGAGAACAAGATGCTTCACTAGGAGAAAAGTTGTGTTGAGAGGAGATCAACAATAGAGAAAAGAGAGTGTAAATTTTTTTCAATTGTAACGGAGACTACAACCATTGTTGTGACAAGAAAATAACTTTTTTAAAAATTTATTCTTATGCAAAAGAATAAGTTTTAGTTCTTTAAATAAATAAAATCTATAGTTGTGCAAATAATTTCAAAAATGTTATTGCATTTTGAATGACTTTGTTTTTCTTTAAACTAAAGTGTATTATATGACAGTAAATGATCTTTTTACATTTGTTATTTTGTTGTTAAATTCTTTAGACAATCTCTTTATAATGAAAGTGATTGTATTTTTGTATTTATTGAAGAAGTAATATTGAAAACGAAATTATCTTTTATTCACTTTATTAGAAGTGATGCTTTAAAGAAAAAAATTACACCTCAGACTATTGTAGTATAAATATGTTATTGCGTATTACTTATAATTTGTCAAATCTAATCAACGTGTAAATAAGTTTGTTTGTATTAATTTGTGTAGGAGTAACTCGTGGTGCAAAATATATTTATAAATAGATTTTTTTTATTAATTTGGATCAACAGAAGTCATAAATTACTTTACTTTTTAACTTTTGTGTATTAGGGGTGACTTTAATTTTATGTTTCCTGTGTTTTGGAAATGAGATATAATATTTAAAGATTTATTGATGTTTTTGTACATAAATTGAAACATCCTAATGATTTATTCTTTTATTTATATATTAATTATTGTCGATATGCATGAATTTGTATAAGTATTTCCTTACAAATTTTAATAAATATATCTACAAATAAATATAATTAGAATATTTAATTAAAAAAATAAGTATATTATATAATTAATATAAGAATAATTGTGTATTTTCACTTACATATGGGTCAAGGACTCAAGGTTATTTTAACTGTTTTTAATGTTATGTTTGGATTATTTTTTTTTTAAAGATATGTTTAGGTTAAAAAGTGAAATTTTAATTGTTGTCAATCTAAAATGATATTTTTTTTATTAAAATAAGATATCAACTCTAAATGAAATATATGATTAAAAAATTGTACTACTCGTGTATAAATTAACATTTGAAGAATGTACCAATAAACAAATTACTGACATGCTGAATTTAATCATAATCAGATAGCATAACATTTCTGAAGTAACTAAACAAATATGTATATATGTTTTACATGTTAGAATACAAAAATAAGTGTATTAAATAATAAAAGTATATTTTTTGTGTAAAAAAGATTTGGGCAAATCAATAAATATAACATAAATAAATAATTACCTTCTACTATCAAAAAGTGATTATTTTTATATATTTTTAAAACGTTAGTTTTTTTATTAGTTAATGATAATAATAATGTAGATGAGGACAAAATGAATGTTTGTCAAAAACATGTATCATCTGAGTTATATAATAATTAGAAGCGTACGTGACAGATGATGACGATGACATCATCGAGATTCCTCTGATCTTTCTTCCACTATTTGACCACACACAACAATTATGAGTATCACTGTTCATATTTACGTATTCCATTTAATCACACCAAACCCTTTTATTTACACATTTTGTTTATATATAAACAGGTCAAAGTTGTGTTTGTTCTTTAGAATATGTGCAGACCTTTGTCTTTTTTTCATTTTTGAATTATGTATGTATCTTTAACTATATCGATGTCATTATTTATGTAAGTTAAATTCAAGAAAAAGTTCGTGTTTATGAGTGTGACAAAAGTGGTGAAAAAGGACTTAGAATCTTACATTAATATAAGAATTACTTGTGAAATCGGTTACTTTGGCACATTCAGATGAGGGGCCTCTTTCGCCATTGCAAGAAAGGGGGAACTGATCAATGTGGTCGCGTTGTGAAGTTATATATATGTGGCAAGGACGATGAGACAGTTTTTGATGAAATAAGAACTTGGTCATTATTCGTTTATATGACCCTGTCGGAGAAACAGTGATATTCTTGTAAGTGGGACTCGCCACTGGGGCCATCAAATAATTGTTATGGCTAATGCATAATTAATATAATTAATACGCTGATTAAACAAAACTAACGAAGGTCTATAAGTGTTACTATACCCCATTGGCAGCAACAGTAGATTAATCTATAAACCTTGGCTAAATCAAGATTTTTTTTGTCTCACTGGATCCTTGTGTGCAATGCAGAGTGAAAATGACTGATGAAAGGGAGAGGTATTGGTGGGGAACATTTAAATTATAATAACAGTATGTTTTGTTGATGATATATTTTGTTTGAAATGAAAACCCTAAATCAACGGGTTTTGGAGACACATGTAATAAGAGTGCTTGATATTGAATGTAAACGTGATTTTGGGAGGGCGTGATGAATATTATTGTTTATAGAATAAAATTATGAGTATCTCTGCCAAAGGAAAAGATTATACGAATGATTGTGAAGGTTAGGGATTTGTGATGGAACATTTGTTGGGTTAAGGATGATGATGTTGGAGAATGAGTGACGGCTTAATATTCCTCCTTCTCCTCTCTTTAGGACCAATAATTTCATCCATGGTGTGTGTTTTAAGTCTTTTTGGCATAACAAGCTAACTAATATAGTTAATTTCACTTCCATAAGCTACATTACATTAGGCTTTTATATCTACCTACCTAGCTAATTACTCTTTAAACAAAGCTTACAATCTAACCACCTAGCCCTTATATTAACTCAACTAAATCATCTTTCATTTTCTAATAATTTGCATTATTTCTAGATCATTCACTCAATCCAATTTGATGTGGGGTATGAATGATTATTATTATTAGTATTATTAGTATTATTAGTATTAGTATTAGTATTAGTATTATTGTTAAGTTTAGGGTTTTTTTTTTGTCTACCTCACAAAATTAATAATCAATCCATTCATGCCAAGTAAGCATGAACGCACGTGGCGTTCTTCCATTTT